ATTACAGATTGGCCTCCAGATTGCTGTCGATCTCTCTAGTCATATTTGGATTGAGCTGGATGCTGCGGCTGTCGTCACCATTCTGGCCTCGGGTCATCAGGGCTCTTGGCAGATTCAGCACCCGTTTATGCGCATTAGAGATTGTCTTCGGCCTGACCATTACAGGATTACACACATCTTCCATGAGGGGAACAGACCTGCTGATTACCTTGCTAGCCTTGGCACTACCATTCCAGACACGCACATGTATCAGACCGACACTGCTCCACTCCGGCTTCGTACGTTAGTTCGGATGGATCAGCTAGGATATCCATCGTTTCGATTTCAGTAGATCAGGGCTTTTGGTTTTGTCTTATTCAGATCCTTTTTACTCCGGGCATCTGTTAGCCCGATGACAGACCTTGTATTATTTTCGTTTTCTGTTCTTTGTTTTTTTTTGTTGTGATTATGAGACTATGTTGATTATTTTTGGCCCATTTTAGGGTCTTGATCTATATACAGGTTGGGAATCCAGCCCAATCCCCCGCCCCTCGGGGCGTTGTTTTTTTTTTAAAAAAAAAAAAAACTAGCACCATCAGACAATTAAACTAGCAACTACTAACCTAGCACAATCATACAACTAACCTAGCACAATCATACAACTAACCTAGCACCATCAGACAATTAACATAGCATGCTAGGTTATTTATACTCCCTCCTATTCATTATAAATGTCGTTTTGACTTTTTGATTCATCCATTTTGTTATGTATCTAGACATTAATATGTCTAGATACATAATAAAATGGATGAATCACAAAAGTCAAAACGATATTTATAATGAACAGGAGGAAGTATTTAATTGCAAGTTTAGTTGTGAACGGTCAACGCCAAAGTCAACGGTCAATGCCAGAAGTCAACGGTCAACGCCGGAAGTCAACAGAATTTTGCGAAAGTCAATGGATTTTCCCCGGAAGTCAACTATCAACGCCGGAAGTCAACGGTCAACGCTGGAGTCAACGGGTGAAAATAATATTTAAATAATTAAAATAAAAAAAAGAAAAGATTAAATCTTGGCCACACATTATGTACCAAATCTTGTGGCTAGAAATGAGCCTCACGTCCTCACTTGAAGAATGTGGATGTATTGGAACCAATACCTATATATATATATATATATATATATATATATATATATAACTAGATAGCTCACGTATCTATCATGCCAATGACAGTGTCATAATCTCCAGATGAAAATTTTGATGTATAAGATGGAAGGCGGACTATGGTGGTAGTAGTCGTTTGTTAATAATTCGTAAAGCATCTTGGTTACGCAAAAATATCCCAAGAACGAGTCGTGTGGAGCTGTAAACCCGAGTCGGGAAACACAGACACCACTCCACGCCTTTCTGCCATTGGTTTCGCTTCTGTCATTTGACAAAATGTTGCGAATCACAAGTAACTCTCGTTGTAGGTATGTAAACACAACCATTATTCTTGAAAATTATTTACTTTTTACGTTATTCACTGACTTGTGATTTTATCATCTATCATGAGCAAAAAAAGAAAAAAAAATGCGACATAAAAATTTCATGATTATATAATATTAAACTATTTAATTCATATTTTTTCCCAGATGAAATATATATGAAATAAAAAATTACATTTTTCGAAGTGTTTGCAAAAGCTAAATTTGATCAGTTCTTCGAGCACCATTTTGCTTGTGTGTTGCTCCAATATACACAAAACATTTTTCTTGTCAAAACATTGGGACAATCTATTTATATTTTGTATATGGGAGCAACATACAAGCAAACTGGTGCTTGAAGTGTTTGCAAAAATTATCTTTTTTGAAGTGTTTGTAAAAGCCTCTCATGATTCTTTCAGGCCACAATGTTTTGATGTGTTCTCTAGCTTAAACTTATGCACTTTTTATAGTGTTAAAACACATTGCAATATGATTACTTTTGATAAGATCGAGTTTATCAAAAGTAATATTGTTGGAATTTTTTTATATAATAAGTTACCTTTAAAAATTGATCAAAATAAAAATAATTTTAGATGACATATCATATTCATATGACTTATAAGAAATTTGAAAATAGCCACTTAACTTTGATGATGTCTCAAAGCTAGTCTCAAGGGAATCAAATAAATAACTGAATTACTAAACACCGCCCCCTTATTACTACTCCTTCCCCTTAAAGACAATTTTGTCCTTTATTTTTTATTGTTTTTTTTTTTTAAAAAAAAAGAGAATGTCCCACCTCAGACCTATTTGTCGGCCGAACTGTTGTGTACAAACTATTAATTTTTACTGAGTATCGAATCTGGCGATTCGATCCTCGGGTTGATCTCTCGAGGAAAGCGGTTTGGAATTTAGCAATGGTGTTGATAACACAATAAGAGAAAATAAACCTAAACACTCTTAATCAGATGATGGAGATAATAATTAACTAAGGGAAAGCCTGAAAATAAATCTACCTAAAATGCAAATTGAAAAGCAATAAAGAAGCTAAGGAGTCGGGGATATCCGTTTTGATTCAAAGAGCAAGTGTCGAGGAAGAGATCATTTGGTTAAAAGGAATCGGTAACTTATTCGTTCAGAGATTCGTCCTGAATAACTTTTCGTAACAAGATGTTGAACATGAACGATAAATCAACGAGCCTTTTAACGCATTGGCAATACAGTTACGAACAAGCCAATTTTATATGAGCCATGGTCTATCGACTCCTCCTCTTTCGATTGAATGAGTCAATTAATTAGCCTAGATAGTTTTTAATCAATCTAAACAAAGGGATCAACACAAATATGAAAGAATGAATCAAACCCCAATCAACAAGTAATTGAAAATTGAAGTGTCACTCCTTCAATAATTTTCATCATTCAAACACAATCTCATCAAACCCTAATCAGGACAACTCACATGAATTGAATAATCAACAAGCTCAACAATCACAATTGAATTCAGAACACCAATCCCCTATCCCTAGCAATGAAAGTTAGCTACGTAAAAAGAATTCAACACACATAATTATTTATCCAAAAACAATCATTTTTCATGAATTGAAATAGAAGAAATTCTTACAAATAATCTCAATCCAAGTGTTGAATCCACAATACAAGCTCAATCCCTAAAATGGAGAAGAAAGAAAAAAGAAAGAAAAATGGAGAAGAAAGATGGAGAAGAGGAGAAGAGAAGAAGAAGAAGAAGGGAAGGAGGATATAAAGGAAAGTGAAGGGGGGAGGCGATTTTCGGACCTAGGGTTCCTCCCCCTTCAAGCTGGAAGTGAAAGAAAATGAGAAGAAACAAGTTTTGGGGGTTTTTATACCATTTTGGGACTTGCAGAGGGCCTTAGCGCCGCTAAGGGGGGTTAGCGGCGCTAAGGAATGAAAGCTGGTAGCCTCTGGTGTCGCTAACATTTTATAGCGCCACTAAGGTGTCTGGGCAGCGCAACTTTGCATTTTTGGCTCGTTTTTTGGGCTCGTCTGAACTCGGAATTGAGTTCCATTTTTTCCTACGCGTTGCTAACGAGCCCCTCTTTCTAATTGTGTTACCTTCCCCAAAAGATTCTCGAAAACCTGTTCTCCCGAGGTCTCCAAACTACACACCAAAAACGAAAAGAGAACATAAAAAGACCGGAAAACAAACAGAAAACACCGCAACACTCAAATGAACGCAAAACACATAATAAATGATAAAAAGATCATAATCACCTAAATGACTCAATACGTGGGAAAAGGAACGGTAAAATAATGACTAAAAATGACAAAAAAGGGACAAACACGAACCGAGCTCCGAAAAATTCCGAAAAGACCTCAGAATAATTCCGGCGAAAAAATGCCATCGAACAAGACTAGCCATAGAGGCTAGTAGGAAAAGCTGGAGGAGATTCTAATCTAGCATCTTTGTACCAAGCGAAGTCAAGGGTTCAATAAAGCTCCTTCACTTGGAAAGTATCTAAAAGAGAACTTTACAGATGGTAAGGAAAGGTATAGTTAGGCCTGAAAAATACCATTGAACAAGACCGGTCATGTGACGGCCGGTCGGTCAAACCAGCCTGACTGGAGCCGGCCGACCGACGATTGCGGTCGGTCTTAAACCGGCTGGCTGGACTTTTTCGGCCGAGCCTATGTTTGCCGCATTCGGCGGCCGGCCAGACTATACCAGGCCAAAAACTATGGCCTGCCGGTCTAAGACCGGCCGCAATCGCCGGTCGATCGTCTCTAGTCCGGCCGTGTTTGACCGGCTGGCAGACCGACTTTTTTTTGCGCTTATTTTAATTATAAAAACTTTAAAATATTATAAAATATATTACAAAAAATTCTATATATTAATATATATTTTTAATAATTAAAAAAATAATTAAAATATATTAATAACTTTGTAAATAACTTCGGGAAAAATCTCATTTCATGGTTCCGAGTGGTAATGTGCTTGGACATGTCATTTCATCTAAGGGAATTGAGGTCGATAAGGCCAAAGTTGATGTGATTGAACAACTCCCGCCCCCATTAAATGTTAAGGGAATTCGTAGTTTTCTTGGGCATGCCAGTTTTTATCAGAGGTTTATCAAATATTTTTTAAAAATAGCCCAAACATTATGTGCCTTGCTTGCTCTTGATGTGCCTTTCGATTTTAATGAAAAATGCTTGCATGCCTTTAATGAATTGAAATGAAAGTTAGTCACGGCACCAATTGTAATGCCCCCAAATTGGTCCCTATCGTTTGAGATCATGTGTGATGCCTCGAACTTCGCGGTAGGGGCTGTGCTAGGACAAAAGGTTGATAAACGGCATCACATGTTTGCATATTATCTAGCATGACCCTAAACAATGCTCAAATCAATTACACCATGACCGAGAAAGAGTTTTTAGCCATTGTGTTTGCCTTAGGAAAATTTCGTGCATATGTGGTTGGGTATAAACTTGTCTTGTATAGTGATCATGCGGCATTGAGGCATTTGATAGCTAAAACTCAATCGAAACCTAGGTTGATTTGTTGGATGTGGAAATCTTAGATAGAAAAGGGTGTGAGAACGTTGTTGCCTATAATTTATCTCGCCTTACATTGCTTTCGAGTTCTTGTGATTTTCCCAATCTTGATGATTCCTTTCCTTATGAGCATGCTTTTATTTTTGATCGTGTGCCTTGGTATGCCGATATTGCAAATTATTTGGCTAGTGGTGTCTTGAATGATTATTTATCCTTCCAAGAAAGGAAGAGATTTATTTCAAAGTGTAGGTACTTTCTTTGGGAGGATCCATACCTTTTCCATCTCGGGAAGGATGAAGTCATTAGGCGGTGCGTATCCAAGAAGGAGCAACCCGACATCTTGACCACATGCCACTTGTCCAATTGTGGTGGCCATTTCGGTGGCCGAGAAACGACATTCAAGGTGCTTAAAAGTGGATTCTATTGCCCTACGATCTTCAGAGATTCCCACACCTTCTCGACTTCATGTGATCGATGTCAACGCTCGAGGAATATTGGGAGGAGGAATGAGATGCCCCTTAACACGTTCCTTCCGGTTGAAATCTTTGATGTGTGGGGGATAGAATTCATGGGACCCTTCTCGAGATCCCATGGGTTTGAGTATATTTTGGTTGGTGTGGAGTATGTCTCGAAGTGGGTTGAAGCCATCCCGGCTAGGACTTGTGACGCTAAGGTCGTGGTGAAATTTGTGCAAGACTACATCATCAATCGTTTCGGTTTCCTTAGAGATATCATTAATGATGGAGGTTATCCGGACCATTAACTTCGAGCTCGGCTTATCCGGGAAGGAGCGACTTTTGCAAATCGATGAGTTGGATGAGTTGCGAAATGAGTCGTATGAGAATGCCTAGATTTACAAAGACAAAGTCAATAGGTGGCATGATTCGAAAATTCTAAGGAAAGAGCTCAAACCCGGGATGAAGGTACTTCTTTTTAACTCCAGACTTCATTTATTTCCTGATAAATTAAATTCGAGATGGAGTGGTCCATTCGAAATTGAGGAGGTATTTCCCTCGGGGGTCGTTAAAATTTTTAATCCAATTGACAAAACTTATTTCCAAGTGAACGGCCACCGGGTCCGTATCTCGAGGGGGAAGCTAAGGATGTTCAAGTCCTTTATTCCCGACTGAGGAGCCATGTTACTAAGGAACTAACGGATACGTCGAGCTCACGACGTAAAACCGAGCGCTTCGTGAGAAGCAACCCACGTTTTTCGTTTCGTTCTTTCTTTTCTCTTTGATTTTTCTTCTTTTTCCTTCTTTTATTTTATTCAAAAAAAAAAAAATATGGAGAGCTCGTGCCGACCTGCTCGACAGTACCGACTTGTTAGAGTCAAGCTTCGAGAGTCATTTGAGCGTGAAGGATAAACCGAGTTTTTCAAACAAAAAATGGAAAAATATGTTTAAGTATGGAAAAGATGACCCAATGTGCACAACATGCTCGCGCATTCGCGGTGAAACCCGTGACCACCAACGCCGACTCGCGCCCCCGCATGAATTTCCGCGACTTCGCGCATGTGACAAGCCCAGACTCCAGCAGGGTCTTTTTTGCGAGGCGTAAATAGCCGCGAGCACTCCCCTCACTCGCGACCTCGCACCGGTTTCCGCGGGCTTGCGATGCTGCTTTCTTTATCTTCCGCTCCAAGCCGGTCCGCGCGCGCGTAACATGCCGCGACCGCGCCTCCTTCACTCGCGATCTTGCCAGCTATTCCGCGAGCTCGCCGTCCAAAAGGCCACCATCTTCAGCAGGTCCTTTTCCGCGTGGCGGAACTCTTTGCGGGTCGCGGCCCAACCCACACAACCAACACCCGGCTCGAGCCCTGGTCTAGCCGATCTGCAGCCCGGTTTGACCATTTACTAAAAAAAAAACAAAAATCCTAAAAAACCTACAATCTAAATCCCAATATCCCAAAACCTGATTCCCCAAACCCTAAGCTATTCCCCTCAGCTCATCTTTCTCCCTTAAGCACCGCTACACCTCCTCCCTTCTCTCTCAACCACCGCGCCCAACCTTTCATATTCCATCTTTTCACGGTGAACACCAGGGACCGAGCTCCGCGCGTTGTTTCACGGCGTGCTCACGGCGACACGTTCCTCGAGTTGCAACCACGCGACCTTCTTCAACAACCGTACCTCCAGCGACTTGGTTCTCAACGACGTGACCCTTTTCAGCGATCGACGACCACGTCGCGACTGCACCACACTCGAGCTCCGCCTACTGACGTCCGTCCACCTTCTATATCGACGACCGCACACCATGGGCAAGCACTCTCCTCCGGCAACCTGAGCTCCTTCATCCGGCATTTCGAATCATCACTGATCGATGACATCAACTTCAGTATCGACAACCGACACCTCCACCTTCCAACTGCAACCAAGCCTCTTCATTTTTTTTTTTTCGGTAGCCCTGAGTCGCTACCGAGGTAATCAACTTAACCTTTCTTAGCTTGGTCTATGTTTCCCGATTATTAGAGGTGTTGGAGAGTACATTATTGATTATTCTTGTTGTTTTGGCCGAATTGCTAAATATTGAGCTCGTTGATTTCGGATATTGAGTTATTGTGCTTATCGGTTATAGATTGCATATATTATATATTCTTGTTGTTGGGTTGGAACATGTCTTGCCGGGCGTGTTCAAATTGCTTTTGTAGGTACATTATCACTTATCAACTCGTTCTACTATGCCGCCAAAAAAGAGAAAGGCCACTCCCGCTAAGAAACCAAAGAAAGGGAAAAAGGCCATCGTAGAGGAGTCGGAATCAGAGCCCGAGGAGAACACTCGCCCTCCTCATTACGACCATGGATTTAGCTGAGATGCTCCATTCGAGATCAAAAGCTCAATGGAAAGAGAAATCTTCTTGAAACTCCGTGATGCCTGGGTCCGTCGACCCAAGGTCCTCGATTTATAGCTCTATGAAAAACTCAGAGTGAAAGAGAATATGGACAAATACCTTAAGGCCCTTGGGTTGACAAAATATGCCGAGATGGACCGATATGCCTACACGAACTTAATGTTGGAGTTTTATACCACTTTTGAGCTTGTGGGCAATTGAGAGGTCATCAAGTTTCGACTCGAAGGGGTGCCACGTCGGATCGATACAGCTAAAATGAGACAACTCTTTGGATTCTCGAGCAAAGGATTGGATGCTCCTCTGGAGGGCTTTGATGCCAATGAGGTTTGGCGGGAGCTAATGGTGTTCCCTTAGACAAGGAAGGGTGAACTACTTAATGGGCACATTCGCGATCACGCGTTGTGCATTGTTCATAAGTTCATTGCTTATAGAATATTCAGAAAAAAAGGCGACGAAGGTGAATACAAACGAGATTTTCATGCTCCTTTGTGCCCTCCACAACAAGCCGGTGAACCCCCTTCCGTTCATATGGACCAACATCGATGAAATACGATGTCGGGAGTGCTTCTACCCCACTTATGGTGTCCTCATCACGGAGTTGGCTAAAGAGTTTGAAATAGAGGCGCCCACCGATATCATGGACTCGAAGCCTATTGGACTCACCGAGCTTAAGGCGGGGAAAATCATACTTAATCACACTACTTTGTGCCCCCAATCGGACCGAAAGTGCGTGCAATCATACTTCAACAATGTGGGGAAGAAAGGAGAAGTTCCCGAGATGTCTACTGGCACCCGGCTGGTTATTACTCTTCCCCCATATGAGCACCCAATCACCGTCGTGATGAAGAAGCTTGATGAGATCCGATCATCTATGATCGACGAGATTGCTCGATGGGGAACCCGGATAGATGCTCGATTGGACACCATGGATGGCCGTATTACCATGCTTGATACTCGACTCTCGACTTACATAGACTCTCGAAACGTTGACCACACTCCTCTCTTGACTTCTCATATCGAGGAGCCCGGTTCTTCTCTCCCGACTTTGCATGCCGAAGAGCCCGCCTCCGGATGATATGGCTATGGATACACGGTGATTACTCACCATGGAATACATATTTTATTTTCTCTTTTTCTTTTTCTCTTTGTTTTCTTCTTGTGCTATGTTTTTTATGTGTTGTTCTCTATTTCTTTCTCTCTTGTTTCTAGTATTTTTGCTCTCGCTTGAACTTGTGTGACGTGAAATTTCTTTCGTGTTACTTTTTTTTTAAGCAATGAGGTCATTGTTTTGTTTGAAGTGTGGGGGAGGATTTCGTTATTATGTTGGTTTTAGTGAGTGTTTTTGATGTGTTTATATGATTTCCTTTTGTCGAGATCTTTGTTAGGTTGTTTAGTCTTATTTTGGACCAGTTGTTTTAGGTTATTTTGTTGGTTGTGTTGACTTTTCCCACATGAGGCTTAATGTTAGTCCAATAGTTTGAAATGACTAAGTGGCTAGTTTGGATGGTCGATCGTTTTCATTATTAGCTCTCATGCCTTTTATGCTTAATGAGTTCGACGGTTTTTATAAAATAAGATGATTATTTGTTGGCATTGGAACTCGTATGTGGATTTACAAAATTTTCTCGTCCTTTGTTTGTTCATGATTGGTGATCTCGATTATGCTTACCTTGTGCTTGATTTTGTAAAACGTGTTACGCTATACACTTGAGGTATATTTTGAGTTATTTGGAATGTTTATACGATTGTATTTTTTATGTACCCTTGTGTGCCACCCCCTAAAAATATATATATGTGAGTTCGCGAGGAGTACGGATTAGGCTCTCTTTATTTCGACCCACTACGTGGAACGGGATAATGAGCCCGGGAAACCGGTCTAAGAAACTCGAGGAAAACCCTCGAGGCTAAACCTAGATAATCATTGTCCGAAAACTTCGTTTGGAAAAATAGGCTCACGGAAAAAATAGTATGAATAAGAATGAGCTCGTGGGAGTTGGACGGATTAGACTCCGCTTGATCCGGTTAGACCCTTTTGGGAAAAACTGAGTCAATGAGTACGGAAAATCGGCTTAGGGGACTCGAGGGCACACCTCGAGGGCAAACCAAAGTAATAATCGTCCCGACAACTCTCATTTGGAAAAAAATGACTCGTAAAAAAATAAAATAAAAATAAAATTGGGGAGTTGGCTATATGGTCTCGTTCTTATTATTTTGTACATTGGGTAGACCATTTCTTTTTCCTTGATTTTTGCATGTATATGTTGAAAAAGGAAGCTTGATTTGAGTAAATCATGATTGAGTTGAGTTTTGTGAATAACCGGATGATAAGGAGAGTCGCATAATGTATGTTTGTTAATTTTGGACCGTTCGATCTATTTCTCGAACCACTTGTTATTTTGTTTGCTTGAGGACAAGCAAAGAGCTAAGTGTGGGGTAGTTGTTTATTGTTTTTTTTTGTGGGTAGTTTTTATGTGTTTTTGTGTGCTTTCGAGTCGATTCTAGGTTGATTTTAGTGTCGACCGGTCCATATTGTCGTTTATCGTATGTTTTTATGTTTTTCTTGTTTATTTTATATTTTGGCGTACTTGTCCGTGCTTTTGGTATAATTTTAGGTTTATTCCGAGGATAGAGAGAGAGAGAGTCGAGCCACATTCTGAGAGACGAGAATTTTCTGACGAAGTTGAGTTTCCGAGACGTTTTGAGCATTGCATACGAGATATTTTCATTTCCGAGAGTTTCGAGCCTTAGTCGATTGCGCACCGAGTCCCGCCAGCTACACTGCCCAGCAAGACCATGCCCGCGCGCTCGCCGAAAGAGTCGCGACATCGAGAGCTCCGCGTGAACCCTGCCCAATCCATACTCGCGAGCTCGCACTTGTTCCCGCGACGTCGAGAGCCATCACCAACCGTGCCCGCGTGCTCGTTGGGGGGTCCGCGAGATCGAGAGTGATGCATGCCCTCGTCCAGCAAGCTCGCGCACTCGCGAATATGTGCGCGAGGTCGAGAGTGTAGCGCGTCGTGCACTTCTAGGCATTCTCGTGCGTGCCTTCGTCGCGTACTCGTGAATTTCATGGCGAGGTAGAGAGTGCCGTATTAAATCTGCATTTTCTAGTGTGTGTTTTATGATGGAGTATAAATACTTTTGAGCCTTTGCATTTTGGATTATCTAGCTCATTATGAAATGTTTCTCTTTTTGGTTCTTAGCTTAAGTCTTTCATTTCCTTTCTAGTGTAAGTGTGGATGCTATTTACTCTTTCCGGCAACTTTTTCCGGTGATCTCTCGTTTATGCAAGTTTTAATCTTTTTCTTCTGATTTCGATCAAGCATGCGTTAGGGATGTGAGTACTTACTTTTAAACCTTATAATCTCGATTTTCGTACTTACTTGCTATCTCGTGCGTAGAAGTAATTAGGGCTTGCTCCTTTATTGGATTTTTAGTAGCTATTTTAGTTGTTTTCATTTCTTTTACTTTTGTGAGCTCGTTTATTATGCATGGAGTTTGTTGAAGTGTTGATTGCTACTTGAAAAATCGTGACTTGATGTTTAGC